AATTAGAAATAAGTCCACCTCTCTTCTCCTCGTCCTCTCCCCCTCCTGCCTGCTGATGATAAAGTTAAAAAAAATCTAAGTTTGGTTATGAAGTGAAATTAAATATCTGACTGTGATCTTGATGCAGCGTGGCACTAATTCCTCACTTCACCATCTGTGTCACAGTTTCCCGTCTCCAAAATGAGCGTATGCATGGGTCAAAGCTGGCGTGAGGCACCGCACATTTTCACGTCAAGTTTGGATTTTATAAATCACAACCTTGGCGTAAAAAGTGGCGTACGCAAGTTTCTGGGCTCAAATTGTGCATACGCCAGTTTTATAAATCTGACCCCAGAGGAGGGCCATCCCGTGAGCTCAGAGAGAAACAGAGATGCATTGTGCATTTKTCTGCTGGCAAACAGGTCCACTTCCCTTGCCGAATCTGTCCCAGATTTGCATAATTATGGTCATGTTGCAGGGTGCAGTCCTTGGCGTACGCAAGTTTCTGGGCTCAAATTGTACATTCGCCATTTTTATAAAACCGACCCCAGAGGAGGGTCGTCCCGTGAGCTCAGAGAGAAACAGAGATGCATTGTGCATTTCTCTGCTAGAAAACAGGTCCACTTCCCTTGCTGAATCTGTCCCAGATTTGCATAATTATGGTCATGTTGCAGGGTCCAGTCCGAGTCCCCGGGGACCTCCCTGGACATGATGTCCGCTCCCCTATCCAGCACACCTGGAACGTAACTTGCTCGGATTGAGCACAAGTGGGAAGTGGTTGTGTGCTCAGAGGAGAAGCTCTCTGGCTGTGTCCAGCAACGGCCGGGAGTGCATCCCCCACCGTGGATGATATAAGCCATTGCCATTCTGCTGTTTCTGCTGTTCGAGTGGACCAGAACATGCTGGTCCTAGACCAGATGAGTGAAAAGCACCAGTACTTTTCACAACGTCAGGAGATCCAGAGCATCCATGTGGGGAACAGGGTGGAAGACCAGCGGTCTCCCACAGTCTGGGACAGGCATGTCCCCCCACACCCCGACAGTGACGTGTCGGTGAAGCCGGCACGTGATGTGACTGCTCAGAGGGACTCCTGCTGACAGTGAGTGTGTGTGCGGCTTTCTCCAGTGGCCCAGATCCGCCTCCACTGAGGAAGGGATCTATACAATCCTGCGCTTGTGACGTCATGGATTGATCTTCAGCTGAGAGAACCACCGCTGCAGGCGTCTCGTGTG